TATATATATATATATAGACAGAGAGAGAGAGAGAGAGAGAGAGAGAGAGAGAGAGAGAGAGAGCGAGAAAGAGAGACCCAGATAAACATATAAAAGTATACATAGAGAATATAGATGCATTATTCAAGAAGAGACAAAGTGAATTATTTCATCAATTAAACAGCGCAAGAGAGATCGTAAACGAGAAGATAAGCAAATCATAAATACAAAGAAAATAGAGAAACAGACAGTGGAGATTATATGACGGGAGAGAGAGAAATACTAATAGCAAATGAGGCATAAACCACATGATTAGTATAGAGATATGATATTGTAGGCAGCAGCCAAAGAGGCGACGATAAATTACCAGATGAAGAGATACAGAAAGATGAACGTCTCAGATAACCAGCTAAGATAAGTTAATGCAGATGTTATGCCAATCTGCTGTCGACTGTGAGCAAGAAAGCAAGACTGTATTTATCGTTGATTATTCATAATTCAGTCAGTCTCTTGGCAGTGGCAATAGCTCAGGCTCAGGCCTCCATCACTTGCAGCTAAGCCGCAAATAAGTGTTCTAATTAATTGGCTTTCTCTGCTTGGCAGCAATCCTGGCGAAAGCTGTTCGTATCTGGCGCAGACGTATCGCTCGCACTGCTCGCAGGTCTACAACTACCATCGGCTGCTGAGCTGGGACAAGGTGCGCGGGCTGCATGTGGACATCTTCAAGGTGCCCACCTGCTGCTCGTGCCAGGTGGACGGCTATCGGCAGCAGTTTCCGCCGCTGTCCTCCATCCAGGCCAAGGAGTACTCGCCCGGCGGCTACAAGCTGGACAATGGCAACAGCAACGGCTACAGCACCATCAACGAGGAGGATCTGGACTACAACGATGAGAGCGACGAGGATGACCTGGGTCTGAGCTATGCGCCGAACAATGAGCTCAGCTACCTGAGCAGCAAGAAGGTGCGCTCCAAGCTACCGGCGCCATCTAGCGTCGGCCCCTATCTGAGTCCGCCGGACGATGAGGATCCCTTTGCCATTGGCGGCTACAAGGGCCACAAGAGCAGCACTTCCATCGGCAGCTCGAGCTCGAAAAAATATTATAGCCAGCTGAGCCGCCGGCGGCCGCAGCATACGGAGGCGCGCGTCGACATCGACATGGATCTATCGCCCAGCGAGACGCAGGCCGATCAAGAGGTAAACGTATTGGCTGGGGAGCAGCCGCGCGTGCCCATCAAGCGCAAGCGTATTTATACAACCACTACTACCACCCACGCAGCCACAACTGGGGGACATCAAGGAGCATCAACTCGAGTACGGATACCCGTACACCTATCCAGCAAACCATCGAGCACAGCCGCCACCAGCAGTCTACCAGCCCGAACTGGAACCGCAGCTGCAGCCGGAGCCGGACCCGGAGCCGGTGTCGGTGCTGCCACCCATGCCCACCAAGCGACTGCTGCATCCGGCTCAATTGCATCATCTAACCCTGCCCTCGGCCAGGGCCAGGGACAGCGTTTCCAAAAGTCGCGACCACGTTTCTATGCACCACAGCCAACGACGACCTCTGTCGCAGTTGCTCCCAGCAATGCGATCCCAGTCAGCCCAGAGGCGTCACTACCAACCACCTACGTTCAGCAGAGGAAGCAGCAGCAGCAGCAGCAGCAATCGACGGCATTTCCACAGTCGCCGAATGTGAATTCCATATTCGACAACAACAGCAGCAGCAGCAACAACAACAATAATAACAACAACAACAACAATGGCACTCGCCGCATCAATTATAGCTATCATCCCATCATCGACTTCTTCGAGAAGAACAGGCGCACAGATGGGCCAGCTGTGAGCACGCTCGAGGATCAGGAGCCCGACTATGCTGTGGAGGAGTCGCGGCTGGTGGAGCAACGTTATCCATCTAGAGTAAAGGCAATTGCCGCCACGCTGCCGACTGCTGTGAATCTGGGCGTGGGCATGGGCGTGGCCTATCAACATGTGGTGCCCACATCGCACGAGCGTAGAATGGGCTTTGGTGCCGGTGGTGCCGGTGGTGCGGTTGGCGGTGCTGTTGGTGGTGCTGGACGCTATGGCTATGCCAACGACAATGCCTGGCAGCCGCTGGTTGTGGATCATTAAACTTAAGACGCATGCAACTCCCACTAGCTTAAACCTCTATACTCCCATGGCTAACATAGATAGCTTGTTGTATTAATCGCATCGAATCGAGACTCATCTGGCTTAGCTTGTAGTTGTGCCTCCTATACTTGCCTAGTTACTGCAACTGAATGACGTAATTGCCTAATCTTACCTAACTCTATGTCTAACAGCATCCAATTAATTAATTAATTAATTATTCAATAATTATTTATTTATTTATTTCGTAGCAAGTAGCGATGTTTTCGAAAACAAACAGCTAAGTTTTAGCAATAAAATAATTTATTAAAATAAAAACTAAAATCAAATCGAATCATTTAACTACTAATTTATTTATACAATTATTTTACAGACGCTGCATAGTATTTTTTTCAGCAAAAGCAATTTTTTAACAGCAGATGCTTTATTTAATATATTTATTAAGTTATATTTTAATAAAATATTTTAAGGATTAAACAAAATTAATTTTCAGCCAAACAAATCTTTTAATCTGCAAACGCTCTACTGCGTTTCATTTCCAGCGTTTCGTCAGCCTTTCACAGCATAGCAGTCAGCTTTTGAGAGTTAGCTTTTAAGCGCGCTTTTTAAATGTCAAGCGAAATGAAAGCTTCCGATGTAAATGTTTACATTGAAAACGTGCGTAAATAATTAAATTAACAATATGTAAATTAACCAAGTTTACTTTCACCCTAAGAACACCTTTATAGATATACAAATATATATATTTATTTATTTCTATATATATGTGTAAAGCTTTATGAAGTTCAAGTTTAGGTTCAGTGGACACATTTTTGCCTACTAATGAGTGTTTAGACGTGAAAGAAAAAACACTCTTGAAACTTTGATTTCAAACTAGTTTTGCACTGAAATGTGCCAAACTCGAGAGGTGTTTGCATATGCAAAGTGGGTTTCTAAATCAAGACGTGGCCACAAATAAACTCTAGAAGATGTGGCGGAGATAGTTGTTGTTGGGGGAAGCAGGGGCAGCATGGCATGGGGCAACGTCTTTGACCGGTTATAACACTGACTGCCGCAGCACTGGCTGAGACTTGCAACGTCACTGCAGTTGCAGTTTGTTGCCGTTACCGTTGCCCGTTGCCCGTTGCCTGTTGCCAGTTTCGCTTTCATTGCAGTCGCACGATGTAAACGCTGCTGCAATGGCTCGTCATGGCTGTAGGAGAAATGAACAGGCAGCGAAGAAAAGTGCCGAAACCCAATCAAACGTCGGGGCTATAAACTGGAAAATTGGAAAAACGCTGAGGAAATTTTATAAAGTCGCAATGATAGCGCCGATTCGAGGCAGTTGCGAGGCAGCCGTCGACATCGTTGAAAGTGAAAATTGGCCTTGAAAGTGAGAGTAAAAGTGCGAATCGAAATGGTCACACCAAGGAGCTGCCTGCGGAATCCAATCTCTGTGTTGCTGATTATGCTGCTGCAGCACAGCCTGGCCATTAGAATTGAGAATACGTCGAGTTCAGTGGCGCCTGCTGGCTATCGCGTCTCCCGGCCGGAGCCCAAGCAGCCCGAACAGCGCGTGCCGCCGCACCTGCAGGACATACGACCTGGCTACGTGGACGACGACGCGGGCGACGTGATACGCATCATTGAGCCGCCCCAGCACTTTCAGCAGCTGAAGCGACTGCGGCAGAGGCAGCCGCCACAGGCAGCAGCGGTCATCGCGCCACCACCAAAGCCCATTGTCTGGGAGCAGCCACGTAAGCTGAGCACCAATCGTGGCGCCCCACCGCCGCCGCGTCGTGTGAAGGCACCTGAGGGCGACTTGCTGACACAGGAGGCGCAGCTGGCGCCGCTGTTTGCCAACAATCTGCAGCTGCCCATGGAGATACTCGCCTCGGTGCGCAAGACGGAGCGACTGCTGAAGAGGCAGCGCCAGGGACAGGGGCAGGTACAGGGGCAGCCATTGCTGAGACAGCGCCACATCCAGCGGCAGACGCACACGCTCATTGCCCAAAAGGCGCTCGAGCAGCAGCTCTACCAGCGCGGACAGCAGCAGCGACTGCGCGCTGCCCTCCTGCAGGAGCACAAGCGCAGCAAGCGCGTCAAGCGGCAAACCGAGTCCAAGTATGATGTGCCGCATGGCCTGAAGCTCGTGGCGCACATAGATGAGCTGCTCAAGAATGCGACACGCTTTGTGCCCGATGAAGGGAAGCCGAATGAGCTGTCAGCCAAGCCAGAGGCAGAGGCAGAGTCAGAGCCGCAGCCAAAGCCGAAGCCTTCGCTCTGTGGAAATGCAACCAACTGCGACAGTCGACGACGTCGCCAACGGCTGTTCAGAGTAAGTGTACAGAGAAAGACAGCTGGCAGGGGGCGCAACTTCCGTCATGAGGCAACCACAACAACAAAGGCAACAACAACAACAACAACAACGACAACAACAGCTGTGGCAGAGCCAACTGGGAACCTAACAACTTCCGCAACTCCATTGGCCAGCCGCTTGGTGAACTCACGTAGAGCTGCAAATAACCGCAATCAAAAGCAAGTGGAAGCGTCCCGCCCACCGCAGCCCTCGCCCGACTCTGTGCTCTATGCGGATGTCATGTCCACCATACGCAACCTGTGGCAGGAGCACGACCTGGCAGCTGGGCCACAGTTTGTGCCCGCCGCGCAGGTGCACAACAACACCGACTATCGCGCCCTGGACGTCTATCTGAAGGAGCTGGATGACATCGCTAAGAAGCTGCCCACTGCAGCGCCCATCACAACGCTCAACCAGGAGGAATTCGCACCGATCACGCCCACGCCCAACTGGTATTTGATTAACAACGAGGGCCGCATCTACGAGACGCGCCTGACTAGCGAATCGAAGCCAACGGCGACGCTCTTCCATCAGTTTCCCGATATGCCCAAGACACAGGACTCTATAACGACGCAAGATCTGGAATAGTCTAGCAGCTATAAAATATTATTTATTTGCCTTTAGCCTTAAGTTGGTTTAAGCATCGACTGTTGTTTGAATAAATTATAATTTTATGGAAGCTTTATATTGCCTATGCATATGCCTATGCCTATAAAAGTTGAATGAAGAGGATAGAGATTCAACCGAACTTCAAGTTGATTTTAAGTTGATTCTAGTTTAGACTTAAATATTTTTGCGGTTTGAATTAGTTCACATGAGTTTCAATGAAAGGCTTGTTCTACGTTTATTTCTGTTTTTGGCGAGCCTAATGAATTTTAGTTTGTTTTTTTTTTTTTATTTTTTTTTTTTATTTTGATTTTGCGTCAGGGCAGCCAAGCATTTAATTTGCCTAATTACAACGGCTGTGACGCAGGTTCTTGGTTAACGCGGTAATTTAGATAAGCAAACGGGCAATTAGCTGGCTAACTGGGTAGCTGGGTAGCTGGGTAGACCTTAGCTGGTTCTCTTAACGTACCAGAGCCCATTGTGCTGAACCCTGACCCCGCACAACATACAAATTGCTGAGAAACTCGGCGCAAAGCATGAAACCCAACTGAAAAGCTGTCAACAATTAGCAGCTGGCTGACAGAGAATGAGAGAGGAAAAGCATAAAGTTGAAGGCATAAAGAACATGAGATATGTTGACCTGATTACCTGCTGAATCAAATTTAGTGCGAAGAAAAAAAAAGTACAGCTGTGTGTCCATTAACAAAAACTGTTGAGGTATAACCGTATATAAAAGTAAAAGGGAAATTGAAGTGGGAGAGGGGAGATGTGATGAAATCGATGAGAGAATTTATGAGCGATGCAATGAAATGTATAATAAATGAACCGAGTCCGGTGAGATAAAATAGATGAGAGATGAGCTGAACTAATTGAGAGATTAAATGAAATAGATGAGACATGGAGTAAATTGTGGAGAACTGAGATGATAATAAAGAGATAAGATAGATATATGAAACAAAAGCTGAATTAGATGCGAGATGAGATCAAACACATGTAATGAAACACATGAGCAATGAACTGAAATAGATTAGATTAGTTGAGAGCTGAGCAGTAGAAGTCGATGAGAGATGAATTGAAATCCATATATGACGACACATAAAATGAACAACGTCTCAAGTTACATTTACTCTCCGTTTTTCATGCTTAGCTGACCTGAAACTACTAATTTGAATATAAATTTAAATGTTTTTCTATATATAGCTAAATGCCTTAATTACCTAAATAGTAGTATATATATAAATAGCTTAATTACCTAAACGTATATATATACATATATGCAAGACCTTAACTTCCGTTACTAAAATGTATTTCCGAGCAGCTTCCAATCGATGCATACCTGTCGCGCAATGTAAACATTTTTGCTTCACTTTATAATCGTTTTTATTTTTTTTTATGCACCTACGTCAAATGAAGATGCCAACTGGACGCTCGCTTATTTCCACATTCATTTCATTTAGCCTTAGTATTATTTAGCATTTTTATTATAAATATAAGATTTAGAATAGTTTTATTTTTTATTGCTTTAGAATGTTGTTTAGCCACTTTGCCAAAAGTCAAATTTATAGTGCTCGTGTTTGTCGTTTCGGGCTGGCGGACTGGCATCCATAAATTTACCTTTTACAAATTCTCCGAGTGG